TCTCTGCAGGCACAAATATATCTTGTTTCCTTCTCTGTGTTTAAATACTTACCCGATAGGATGTGCTTGAAGCTCTGGAGCAGGACTTAAATGCAGCTCAAAGAGCAAGAGTAAGTGATGGTGAAGATACAGTAACAGTGTGGGCAGGAAGGGGGTTCTCAGGACAAGCTATTTCTGATGGCTCCTTACCACCACCACTAATGGTGCCATCCCAGGACAAGGTGGATTTGTTGCTCTGGAAGACCCGGGATGCGTGGGAGGGCAGCTGTGTTCATCCAAGGATGAAGGTGGGCAGCATCCATCGGGGATGAAGGTGCTGCAGCACCCACTGACCTTAGCTAACATATGTTCTGCAGTGAAAGGCAGCTCTGGAAGAGGTCCTCACTAAAGGGTGATGGAAGGAGCAACCCATTTCTCTGTGAACTTCCTCACCGCAGCATCAATGCAGCTTGTTTGGAAGCATCATCTTGTGCCTGCCTGCAGGTGGGTGGTGCTGGCTGCAGGAGGACTCCAGGCACTTGAGTGCAGCAGGGTGCTATCTTCTTCCCTTGCTCAGAGGTAGGAGAGGGGATCATGTGCAGCTGCTTTTACCTCCTTTAGAAGTGCTCACCCGGCTGTGGAGAGTTCTGCATCCTGCTGAAATTACAGAAGGGCTGAGGATACAACTCCCAGCACTGGAAGCTGGCCAGCCCGCTGCCAGGAGCCTGCATGGAAAATGGCTCTGGCATTCACTGACCATCACTGGAACCTCCTTTTATTCTCAGCTTATCCTGAAGCTGCTCAGCAAGACCAACAGCCAGTGCAGAAGTGTGTGGTAGGGTAAGTGTTGTTATGCTGTTGTAGAGGTAGATGCATTCCTGAGAGCTAAAGGCAGTGCTCTTTCCCAGGAGACCCATGGCTGTTGCTGGCTCTGAGCTGATTGTAATCATACACTCACAGAATGGTTTGGGTTGGAAAGGACCTTAAATAATCCACTTCCAAACCCCCTGCCACTGTGGATTTATTTGCTCCATTGCATCTAAAGCCTGGACTCATCTCTTGACTTCTGCTTTCCATACATGTACTGGGAAGAAGGCTCGACCAGCAAAGAGGATGTTCCCAGTTCATGCTTCCAAGCTCTGCCTTGTGTGACCCACCCTCCTTGGCTGCATGTAGCACAATTATATCTGACTTCACTTGAGGCAACTCTTGACCTTGGTTGGATTGGAGTTACCCAAATCCTGGCGTGTCTATTGTACTGGGGCTGGCATAGAGCATTAGAGCTGGCAGCCTGTGCCTCTTGGAAGGGTTGCCTTGCTTGCTGCTCACTGAGAATAGAAGTAAATGGTCTTGTAATGTGCATCTGGCAGCGTTTCAGTGTAATTGTTGTCTATTTGCTTTTGATCTGGTTCCTTTCAACTTTGCCCGGATTTGGAAAGTTGAGGGTTGGACTGGAATAATGAGGGAGAAATTGGTTGTGGTCTGAGGCTCTGGAAGCTGAAAGCAGCCCTTGGGGCTGAGGAGGTGGTGATGTTGTCATTAGGTGGTGTGCGAGGAGGGGTTAACCAGTGGGGAGCAGCTCTCACAAGAGAGTTAAAAGCTAAAGTAAGTGTTTTAGTTTCAGCTTGGTGCTATGAAAAGCCACCAGAGCTTTCTAGAGCCATTTGTGTATGAGGAGTGTGGCAAGAAGCTGCTGTTCTTCGAGCTCTTTCTCTATCCCTTTCCCTCATCCTCCTGCTGTTTTACTGTCTGCAGTCCTGTTCTCTGCAGCAAAACTGAAGCCAATTAGCAGTGGAAGTGTAATAAATGCAGAGAAATTCAAATGAAGGTGGTATTTTTCACACTTCCTCTGATTGAAATGTGGAATGATGCGACCTGAGGGGAGTGAGGCACTCTTGAGAAGGGAAGCTGTGTGGAGACCTCAGAGCAGCTTCCAGTGTCTGAAGGGGGCCACAAGGATGCTGGAGAGGGGCTCTTCATCAGGGACTGGAGAGATAGAACAAGGGGTGATGGGTTCAGACTGAAACAGGGGGAGTTCAGGTTGGAGATAAGGCAGAAGCTCTTCCCTGTGAGGGTGCTGAGGCGCTGGCACAGGGTGCCCAGAGAAGCTGTGGCTGCCCCATCCCTGGCAGTGCTCAAGGCCAGGTTGGACACAGGGGCTTGGAGCAAGCTGCTCTAGTGGAAGGTGTCCCTGCCCATGGCAGGGGTTGGAGCTAGAGGAGCTTTAAGCTCCCTTCCAACACAAACCAGTCTGGGATTGTGTTGTGCCTTTCTGGGTACAGGTTACCGGGCTCAGTAAATGGAGTTTGCAAGGAATATTGTGCTCTGTTTAACTGAGACAATCAGACCGGGTGACACATAGAATCATAGAATAGTTAAGGTTGGAAAGGACCTTAAGATCATCCAGTTCCAACCCCCGTGCCATGGGCAGTTTGACAGGATAGTGGGGCTTTGCACCCTCTTTTGAGTGGATGTGGATCATCAAATTTTGCTTCTCCAAAGGCAGGCGCTTACTGTAGGTCGCTGTGTGACAACTGCTGTGTGCACCCTGATGAAATCAATGCTTGTTTTCCCTGCAGTGCTGCTTTTACGAGCAGCAAAGTTGTCATGTTTTAATCTGCAGCCAGTGGGAGTTCAATAATGAAGTAATCAAATGGGTAGGTGTATTTGCAGACAAAAGAAGTTGAATGATTTTGCAGCGCTTCTGTGTGTGGTGTTGTCAGGTGAAGTCTGCAGGAGTTAAAGGTAAGGGAGAGAAGGACACAAGGAAGGCCAGGCTGGACAGAGCCTTGGGTGAGATGGCTTAGTGTGAGATGTCCCTGCCCATGGCAGGGGGTTGGAACTGCATGATCTTAAGGTCCTTTCCAACCCTAACTATTCTATGATTTTATGTAATTTTCCCATGACTTTCCTATTGTGACAACTGTACAAATGTTGCAGGCATCCTCTTCCACCTGAAGGATTTGGCTCCTGCTTCTGTTTTGGAGACTGTGGAATCCCAGACTGGTTTGGGTTGGAAGGGACCTTAAAGCTCATCCAGTTCCAACCTCTGCCATGGGCAGGGACCCCTTCCACTGGAGCAGCTTGCTCTGAGCCCTGTCCAGCCTGGCCTTGAGCACTGCCAATAGTGACTTTGTTCATCAGCCCAGCATCCAGACTAGAGGAGAAGCGCCTTGCTCAACACTTTGCTAATGAGACATGAGCAGTTGGTCTTGGGTACTGGTCCCACTTCAGCTGAAGAAGGAGAGCCTTAAATCTAGTGGATCTGCTGTTTCAAGGAAGTTGAATTGCTCTTTGTGCTGCTCAGCTCCTGTTTCCTTCTGCTGAGTGGTGTAAACAGAGGTACAGTGTCCTGCTGGCTTCCAGGCCTGGCAGGAGGAGCCCTGAGAAGGGAACTGCACCCCTTCCAATGAAAGAAAGAGTGAAAAGAGTGTTGTGCTTGCCCAGTTTTGATGATAACTGAGACTGCAAGAAACCCCCTCCTGTTTTTCTTTCTTCTTACTCTCTCTGTTGCATCCTTTTGCAACTTCTCTGGGGCTGCTATGAGTTAATTCTGTTCCTTAAAGCCGGTGGGGCTTCCTTGGCAAACATGGTCTGCTTCCTATGGCCAACTATGATGTGTAAAACTAAGGGGTTTGTATGCTAAGAGATTCTTTAGTTTAGAGCTCTGGTACTGACAGGCATGGGATCTGCATCTGGAGCTCCTGTGATCGTTTTGGCTCTAATGGAATGCTGTAGAGCTGTGTGCTAAGGGATGGGGAGGGCTGTCCTTTGAGCACAGCAGTGTTGTCTGGTTGTTTGCTTTTTTCCAATCTTTTCTTGGTAAAAAGAAATCCCAGTTTTAGTAAAAGCTTCAATGGGCCTTTAGGCTCTGGTGGTTGATTTGTGAACAGCTTATAAGCACCGGTTGCTGCAAGACTGGAGTTGTCAAATTAAACCTATTTAAACACTCAATTTTACCCAAATGCAGCTTTCTCGCTTGTTCCATTTGACATGATTTAAGTGCTAAATAACCCTTCCTAATAATTATGTACAACCATGTCCAATATATAACCCTGTATGTGTTGTTACCTGATGGTTTCTGGCAGCAGAATGGGATGCTCCAAAGGGCTCAGACTTTTAAAGTGGGAATTCTTTGGGGTGTGACTGGCTCTTTACAGTCTGTAACTGCAGCTTTTGGTGTAGTGGGACTTTAGAAGTCCTTAAGCATCAAAGAAATATGTGCTGTAATATAAGGTAACGGAGAACAAATGAAGTGCTTTTAGGTTGCGGCATCGACAGTGTTGTTGTGCAGCACTTCCTGGGTACATGAGGCTCTTTGGATGTGTTTGGGTCTCTGGAGCCAGGTGCCTCCATCAGCTTTTCCTCTGTCTATCCAGGCCTAAAACCCTGAGATTTTGATGCATTGCTGTCATACGAAAAGCTTTCATCCTGAACAAGTCCAGCATCCCGGGAGTCCTGACATTGCTACCAGTAATGCCCACAGAATGAATTGTGGTTGGCTAGGGTTTGAGATTTGTTCTTCTGGCCTTTCTTAAAAGCCCTGCCATCAAACCATGGGTGCGAGATGGTTTCTAATGCTTCTTGCTCAAACCAGCTTTGTACTGTGACTTTGCTCCCAAAGTTGGGGAGCCTTTTAAGTACGGGCCTTTGGTGATTCAGTGGGGGATCTGTGCCTCTGGTTTCTGTCCAAGGCAATGCTGCTGTTTATACTTCATCTTTCTTCTTCATAATGGGAATTAATGGAGCAGTGTCTGGCAGGACAAGTAACCAGTGTAATTGCTTGGGTTTAGGGTGATGTTAAATGTGAGCTTTGCTTCCATTAGTTCAAGGTTTTCCCCCTTGGATTCCTCTCAGTTCCCAGAAATAATCATTTAGGAAGAGTGGGAGCTAAGGACATGGGAAGGTGCTTGGTTGGTGGCTGCTGAGCGTCCTCCCTCTTCTGGAGATAGGGGCAGAGTTGGAGGCAAGGACCAGGAGGTTTCTTTGCTAACAAACAGGAGGGTTTGTGTCTTCCCCAGGTGGATTTGCAATAGTGTTTCTGGTGAGGACCAACAATGGGATGAAATGTGCCCTCAAGAGGATGTACGTCAACAACGAGTACGACCTGCAGGTCTGCAAAAGGGAGATCCAGATCATGGTAAGTCATCACCCAAACTGGGTGTGGGGTGCTGTCAGAGCCTGGTCACATTCTGCCCGTGGTCTGTGTAGCAGCTTGTCCCAAACAGTGTGTTTTCATAGCAGAATTGGCTTGCTTTTGGAAAGACCTAACTCCTGGAGTTAGCAGCTATGTGGGAAGCTCTTATTGACCTATTTAAAATGGACGTGGTTTCAGTGGACAATAAAAACATGGAAGGTGAAAAAGGAGAGGGAATTTCAGGACAACGAGGGGAGGAAAAACCCCATGTGTCAACCCCATGACTTACTGGGAAAAGGAAGAGCTGAAGAGGTGAGCTGAGAAGGGATGTTAAACTTCAGTCTAACAATCCTCAGGTCAGGGCTAAAGTCTTCACCCTCTTAGACTTCATCAGAAAAGGCTGATGATGCTGGTGTACCATCTCTGAACTCCAATCAGTGCATGAATGAGAGACCTCCATCCTGAGATCAGTTTGTGTCATGATAGCTCCTGTCTTTGGGGTTGGGATGGTTATCTCTGTATTGATGAGGTTGATAGATTAAAACAGTGTTTGTGGGGTGGCTGCTGCCTGGCCTCGTGAAACAGGGAGGTATTTATAATAAGCACTGAGATGCGTCTCTAGATTATTGGATAAAAGGAGTTATAGCTATTTTTAATAGTTGTTTTAAACTTAGCATCTCTAAATAAAGAAGAAATTGAGATGATCCCCATAGATTTGCTTAGCCTTGTTTGGAGCCTGGTAAACATGGAAAGTGCCCCCTTTGAAGCTGTATTCAAAGATCCTGATGAGCACTTAGAGCAGCTGTGAGGCAGGGAATTGAATCGAAGATCCTGGTTCTGCTCATTTACAACACAAGGTGTAGATTTGGGGTAGAGGATCTTCAGAGCAGAAGCTCTTACCTGTAGCAGTTCTGGGGTTGTGTTTTGAAGTAGCTTTAAATCAGGTTAATACCTTTAAAGTTAACTTCTGAAGTTGGGCGATAGCGCAGCGGAGCTTGTGGGCATGGTTTGTTGTCACTGTGGCTGATGCTGTGTGGGAAAAGTTGAGATTAGATCTTACATCAAAGCCTTGAGCTGTGCTCACAAAGCTTCTTTACTTAGGTTTTGCTTGCTGCTGTCTCCTTCATGTGAGATGGGGAATGTGTGGCTAACCTGGAAGGTGAGGGTGAGGAGTATCCTTCTCACTTGGCAGGTCCACTTGCTTCCATGCTGAATTCCATCAGATGCACTTACCTTTGTCTTGAAGAAACCAGTATATATAACTCAAAGGGAATATATCCTTCTTTCCTAGCTTCTGTGCAATAAAGAATTACCTTAACTTTAACTCTACAGTGCTAGAGCAGAACATGGCCAGCAGAATCTTTCACTGGTGAGCCTGAATGTGTGTGAAGGAGATATCCCAAAGAAATGACTTTTCCCTGCGTGTGTCATGGATAAGTCATTGGTCTGAGAACCTGTGCTTTGATCCATTGAATTACTGAAGGTTCTTCTAAAACCAAAGTTAAGGTTTATTACCCTAATGGGGTTTTGGAGTATTTGAAGATCTAAGATCCTGTTCACCAGCAGAGGAATGGAAGGCAATGAGAACAGCAAGCCCAACATGTCCACATCCCCACCACAAACACCTTCCTTGTTCTCCTGGAGCGGGAAAGAGGAGCAGCTCCACGTGGCTTGGCCTGAGCCATCTAAGGGAGCATGCAAAGATCCGGAGTGATCCTTGGATGAGTTAGTTCAGCAGAGTGGCTGTTTCTCTGCTGTTTGCCTCAGATCCTTCTGGAAGGAGAATAGGTAGTGACAGACCTCAGGTTTAAGTTGCATATGATGGTTAATCCAGAGTTGTGCCTGTCCTGAAGAGCTGGGAAAGCTGGGCAGTATAGAGGAGCCAGGTAGAAAGGTTGCTCACTCTACATGGCTGGCTTGGGCTTTGAATTTATCTGTCTTACAGCGGGATCTGTCTGGCCACAAGAACATTGTGGGATACATTGACTCCAGTATAAACTCCGTGAGCAGCGGGGACGTGTGGGAAGTGCTCATCCTGATGGACTTCTGCCGAGGTGAGTGGTGTTCCTTGGGGATTTGCCCCTTTTCAGTGCTTACAGGAAACTTGCACAGCGTCTTCCTGTAACAAAACCAAACCTCTTCCTAGGCCTGGCCCTTCCTTGGCTCCCAAGGAGCTGCTGTGCAAAGCAAAGCTAAAACCGGGGGTGGAGATGAGGCGATGTTGACTCTGCTGATGGGGTTTGTAATGCCTTTGCCCCTGCCCAGGGTGGTCCTAGATCCTTTCTGTTGTGAAGGACAACCCTTAAATATATATAGTGCTATTTTCCATAGGCTGATCCACACAGGAAGTGGCTGTTACAAAGCTGCCAGGCTGTGGAATGAAATTCTCCTTCACTTTATATCAGATTGCAAGCTTTTTTCCACTTCAGCCTGACTTAGGATTGTTCTGGAAGAAGCACGAAACAGATAACATGAAGCCAAGAAGTATTCCTCTTACCTCTGACCTTTTTGCTTGGCTGTCTCTAGCCAGGCAGGCTCTTCCAGGCTTTTCCAGATGTCCTAAAGCTTTGATCTGCTGTGGCTAGGATGTGGTGTTTGGAAAATACCGTGTTCCAATGCCGCTCACAGGAATAGTGTTAAGCAAAACCAGTGTTTGGCCAGGTGACTTCACAGGTCTGTGGCTGCTTTTGGATGGTTGCAGCTGATGGAAATAGGCATCCGTGGCACCATGCACAAGCCAGGTGCATTGTAGCATGAACAACTAGATGCTAAAATGCCTTTAAGCGTGTCTGGTAGAGCTTTGTGTTCTGCCATGACCTCTTTGCTGCTTCATTTTGATGCAGGAATCTTGATTAACTGCATTGTTTGCTGGTAAAAGGAAGAGCCTTATGTGGAGTTTTGCTGAAGGAATCATTACCTAAGCTCTCTGCAGGCCTAAACCTAAATATCACAAGGAGAGCTGTAAGAAACAGGCCTGGGCAATGCTGGTAAATCCTTACTCTGCTCCAGGTTGCAGAGCTCATGGTGGAGGAATGCACCCCTGCAGCTGCATCAGCCTCCCCTCTGTGCCACAGTGACCTAAAATGTGTGTTTCTAAGGTGCTCCCTTCCATCTGAAAGGTGGAGAGCTGTAAGGTGGTTGTTCCTTGTAGACAAGGCCCTCAGTGCCATGGGTTAGTGGTGCCCTTGGCAGTGCTGGAGAGTGGTTGGACTGGATGAGCTTAAAGGTCTTTTCCAGCCTGGTTGATTCCATGATTCCCACATGGTTTGCTTTTGCCAGATGCTCTGCTCAGCACACATCTGCCTCTGTCTCCAGCATTCAGACTGAAGCACAGGAATTGCTGTTGCATGCTGGTTTTTCCCTTTTGTGTCCAACAGCTTCCAAACCAAATCAGTGTCTTTGTGTGCAGAACTGCACTCGCTTGGAGTGGGAAATGTTCGCAGCTGTAATGTTTATTAGGCTGAGCTTTCCCTTTGTCCCATGCAAATGACTTTTTTCTGGCACTTGTGATGTGAAATGATGCAGTTTTGCGTTGCCAAAGGTTCAGAAAGGAGATTTTTTCCCCTGTGTATATAGGGTGCTTTGAGAGGGGAAGAATTGGACTGTTTTGGAAAGGCCTTGACAGCAACAAAACCTGAAAGCTGAGGCAAATTCAGGACTCATTCATGAAAACTTGCTTTGGTTTGTGCAGAGTTTCCCTTGTTCCAGATGGATTTTAAGTTTGCTTTGCCAATCTATGACTTTAGCCAAGCCTCTTGATTGTGTATGGGAGATTTTAGTAGCTCACTTTCCCCCTCCTCTTGCTTATATGTGGCAAACTACTCTTTGGACTGTGCGTGCCCCATATTCGGCCTTTATTTCTCTAGTCTGCCAAAAAGAAGTCTTCTTTTGAAGAAGAAAGGGAAAGATGTGGCTTAGAATCACATCGGAGTGTTAACACAGCCAGGTGGCTGCGGGCCTTAGAAGCTAACTTGGTGCTCTTGTTCGAAGACAAGATGAGATGCAACACCCCCTGGCAGATATGCAGACCCCCCCTCGGTTTAGATGAGGAAATGAGAACAGCACAAGAGGATTAAGAAGCCTCTGGGGAAGGTTTGGTGTGAATTTGGTGTTTGAACTGACTGTACAGCCACAGTGTGGGGAGCAGACAAAGACAAGTGATGTCTGCTAGGGCTGGGGCTTAGACCAGGCCAGCCCTCGCTTTGCTTTGCTTTGCTTTGCTTGCAGTTTTCCCTTGTTCCAGCCCCATCCCTGCTCTGACTCTTGGTGCTGTTTGTGCTCAGGGGGTCAGGTGGTGAACCTCATGAACCAGCGCCTGCAGACGGGCTTCACGGAGGCCGAGGTCCTGCAGATCTTCTGTGACACCTGCGAGGCCGTAGCCAGGTTGCACCAGTGTAAAACACCCATAATCCACAGGGATTTGAAGGTGAGTTGTGGGTTCCACTGGTACAGCAGGGAGTGGGCATCCTCCTCCACGTGTCTGTCTGCTGCCTACGCCACGGCAGACAGGCTTGGAACGCTGGTGCTGTGCTTCTGTTGTTAGCAGTGAGGAAAAACAGGCATAAATATCTCTCTGTATTGGAAGATAAAAACAGAGATGAGCCTCTCATTGCTCCTTACCATATGTTTGCCATCTAGAGATCTCCTTAAAGCACACAAATGTTGGTGAATAGTTCTGGTTTGCACAGATGAAAGTAGTGGATGAATTATTCAGGGGGACTTTCTACACCTGAAACAGAAATGGTGATAGAAGGTAGGGAGCAAAAAGCAGGCTGTAAATTTGTTCCCTGGACCCACATTAAAAGGATCCCTCCAGAGATGTTGGCTGTGGGGCAAGAGGCGTCAGAAGCTTTTGAAAGTGGCCTCTAACTCTCTGTTGACCATGACAGTGCATTGTAAAGCTCTTGTGTGCTTAGCTGGGCACAGAGGGGATTGCTTTGGAAAAATCCCATGCCTATCATCAAACAAACGGAAAGATGTTCCCTTTCTTCTCAAGCTGCTCATAAAATGCCTGAATAACACATTCAGCCACGAAGGAGGCTCCTGTGTGCATTTGAAATTCAGATGTGCTTTGTAGGTCAGGCTCTGCTTTCCGAGCCCTCAACAGATGTTTGCTTTGTGCTGTTGGTTATAGGAGCCAAAGACCCCACATGTGCCAACGAAAGCCAGGTATTGCAGGGGGGTTGGGGAAATCCTCAGGAGTTGGTGTGATTTAACGTGTTTCATGAGGCTTAGGAACAGGGACGTGTTCAGATGATATTAACCCTGCTGTTACCTTCTGCTGTTCATAAGGAACAAACTCATTGTGTGGCACGTGAATGAATTCTGGGACATCTGTGGTGGGTTAATGAGTTGATCTTGAGTGCTGCTTTCTACACTGAGCTGCAATTGAAAGGGGCTGTTATGGTCTAGTGTCCAGCCCACTGCTGTGTGCTGAGATCAGTAAAGCCTCTGCAAGGCCTGGCTCTTGGTAAGCTGTGCCCAAGGAAAGAGAGTTGGCTTTTCTCTGTTTTGTGGCACGTTTCCCACTTGACTGTTGTGTTATTTCTGTTGGGATGGCCTCTGCAGCTCCTGCCACGATTGGGAATCCAAGTGCTAACACAGAATGAATGGTTTAGATATGTTTTCACTTTGAGTTCAAACTCAAACACCAAGAAGGAGCTGTAATTCCAAGAGAGACATTAGGGCCAGCAAAGCTTTGTACAGGTCCCGAGTGTAAGGAAGGGCATCATCAGGTAGGTATTTTGGTGGGTGAACACAACCCTGTTGAAGAGTGAAGATGTTGACTTTGGGGACTGGGGGATTTTTTTGCCTTCCAGCTCTTTGATGTTGCTCTAATGCTGGAGGTTCCTGCTCAGAAAGCTCTGCCAGCAGAAGGGATGGTGTGAATAATCTCTGAGCCCTTTCAGTGCAGCTGGATTAGCTTCAGTGGCCTGTAGCTGTGATTCTGAATTAACCCAACAGGCTTTGCCTGAAGCAGAACAACCTCTTGTTGGCCCAGTCTCCAACTGGTGGTATGTAACCAGCAGCTGGGGACAACACCTTTGAGCAGCTTGCCTATAAGCAAACATGGACAACTCACTGCAAATAACAGCCATGAAAAATACACTGTGTGATCCTAGGGTGTTTGTTAAGGTTTTCTTTCCTGATCATAGAACCCTAGACTGGTTTGGGTTGGAAGGGACTTTAAAGCTCATCCAGCTCCAACCCCTGCCACAGGCAGGGACTCCTTCCACTGGAGCAGCTTGCTCCAAGCCCCTGTGTCCAACCTTGAACACTGCCAGGGATGGGGCAGCCACAGCTTCTCTGGGCACCCTGTGCCAGCGCCTCAGCACCCTCACAGGGAAGAGCTTCTGCCTCAGAGCTCATCTCAGTCTCCCCTCTGGCAGGTTAAAGCCATTCCCCTTGGCCTGTCCCTTACAGGCCCTTGTCAGAAGGCAGTGCTGATGGCTACCCCTGAGGAGCTGTGTCAGCCTGTCCCTGTGTGCTTAGAGCTGCATGATGTGCAGTACAGGGGGTGATGCTTGTTCCCATGTGCTTTGATTGCCACAGAACCAGGTGTATATTGATGCTGCTTTTTCCCTAGACATTGAGAAGCCCCTCATGTGCTGCCTCAGCGCTAGTTAGGACCCCTAGAGAAGCCCTGTAAGCCTACAGGCTTGCTTTGTGTGGTTACCTTTGCTTGTCCTTTTGGGTATTTTCCTTGCTCTCAGGGTTCACAGGCTATTGCTGCTGCAGAGCCTTCCCCGGAGTAAGAATTCCTGTTTCTTTACAATAGTGGAGAGCAAATGGCCAGATCTTCTTCTGGCTGTGTGTTAATATTACCCTGGCTGTGCAGCCTCAGCTTTGAAGCTGGAATCTGTTAAGAGAAACTATGACTGTCAGGCCCCAGAAAAGGGGGGTTAGCGAAGTGGGGGGAGCACAAAATCAATCTGTCCCTGCTCATAACTATTTACTCAGCTCCTCTCTACCTGGTGGCAGTTGTTGGCATAACTTGGTTTATATTTAACCTTTCCAGTCTCACACCCTGTACCTCACGGTGTTAATAGCACCAGCTTCAAGCCAGCTTTGGTTTCTACAGCTCGGAGCTTTCCACAGTGAGACATCTCCCACTTTACCTGGGCTGCTTCTATTCTGATCCCATCTTGTTCCAGGAGTGGCTTGTGGATGAGTGCCTGATTGTCTTGTAATAGTCACCCAGCAGGATACACCAAAATACTCTATCAAAATACTCCATCAGTCAACCCAGAGGATGCTGTTGATCAAAAGAGCTTTTTGTTTCCCTTTCTCTGCTTTCTGAAGTAAGAAACTTGTGCTCTCCTGTTAAGGATTTAGTTTCTTCTGCTTTCATTGCAGCAGCAGCGTTTCCCAGTGTTGCTCTTCTCTGTGGTGTGATAAGAGAGTCACGCTGTGCTGCTCTTATCTCGCTGCCTTCCATCACCCTGCTTTGTAATGCCAAGTCTTGCCCTGATGCCACCAACAAGCTTCTGCCTGGAATGTGTTTGCCTGGATCTGTGTGCAGAGTGTGATATGTAAAATTCTTGAGTCCTCGATTGGTAAACCCTTGTATCGACCATGTTAAGCGTATGGCTGTGCCAAAATCAGGCAGTGCTCTTAGATGTCACATTGCATTCGTTTCTTGGCTATGAAGTAGTAAATAAGCTTTCAGAAGCAAATAGTGGATGGTGTCACAGGAGAAAGGGATGTTGAAACGTCTCTTTAGAGACTGGAAGGTGCAGGAGGGCAAGCTGAGAGTGTACCTGGGTTGTGCATCCCACCCACATCACCATGTGAGCTTAGGAGCACTGGCCTTAGAAGCTGTTGCTCTCATGAGAAGATAAGTGTTGATTTTGCTAATTAAAGGCAGCTTTATTCTTTATCCCTCACCAGTGTGTGTCTGTACAGTCTTATAGAACCCCAGCCTGGTTTGGGTTGTAGGAACCTCAAAGTTCATCCAGCTCCAACCCCTGCCACAGGCAGGGACCCCTTCCACTGGAGCAGCTTGCTCCAAGCCCCTGTGTCCAACCTGGCCTTGAACACTGCCAGGGATGGGGCAGCCACAGCTTCTCTGGGCACCCTGTGCCAGCGCCTCAGCACCCTCACAGGGAAGAGCTTCTGCCTTATCTCCAACCTGAACTCCCCCTGTTTCAGTCTGAACCCATCACCCCTTGTCCTATCCCTACAGTCCCTGAAGAGCCCCCCTCCAGCATCCTTGTAGCTCCCTTCAGACATTGGAAGCTGCTCTGAGTTCTTTGCATGTCTTCTCTTCTCCAGCTGAACAACCCCAAGAGTTTTCTTACGACTTCAGGTTTCAGCAAAGGAAATCATTTGTGTCATAGAGTAAAGGCAGAAGCTGCACACTCATGGTTTCCCTTAAAGGTGTTTTTTGGAGGCATGAAAATCTGACATTGGGCACATCAAAGACTGCAGCTGGAGTTGCAAGCGTTCAGCAGTGCTGGCAAGTGACTGAGGAGTCACCTCAGACTTCTCAGCCAGATAAAGTGGAAGGGCTCTTCTGGAAGTGTTTGCAGGGAATAGGGAATAACACTGTCAGTGTTGATCTGGGGAGAACATCTGTGCGTGGTGCTTTATCCAAAGCAGATGGGTGCTGGAGGGGGAAGCGGTGTTGTTTAACCCTTGGTTTCAAGCCAGCCTTTCCCCCCTCAGCTGTTCTGCTTTGGCTGCATTTTCTGGTGCTTAAAATGCTGACTCCTTCTTTTTCTTTCCTTCTTGTAAAGATCAGCCTTGTTGGGGAGCTCTGCTTCCAAAGGCTTTTGTTAGTCCACAGTTCTGGGGTGGGTTTGGGGAGATGGCTGAGCAATGTGTTTGATCTCATGGCTGTATCTGAGCATTTGACATTGATTGAAGAGAAATACGTTCAAACCTGGGTGTATTCCCTTGAGAGAGCATCTTGGGCATGCCACTGTGCAGGTGAGGAGCTGGAATACAGGCGTGCTCTGCCAAAGCAAAGACTGAACCTAGGTTTTTCCACATCTTAGGTCAGTGTTGAACCATTTAGACAGCTTTCCTAGGTGGGTGCAAGCTGGACTTCTGTTGCTGTGTGAGTATTTAGGGGAAAGGCAGTGACTGCTGGCTTGATTTCCTGACTTCCAGCTCTCCCAGGTGTTGCTTTCAGCATGTGTTTCAGTTGTCTCATTCCAAACACTACTTCAAAGAAGGGGCTCATCTCTTCAGCAGCACATGGTGGTTTTAGCAGAGGCAAGGTAATGTGCTTGTGAAAGGAGAAGGGAGAGGTGGCAGAGGGAAGACAGTTCCTAGGTACAACTATGCTTCCATGATTTGACTTCTATTTCAGGAGATGTGACAGAGTTTTGATGCCTGTTTCCTTTGCTGTCATGTTATGCTTTTATGTCAGACATACCTGCTATGTCTTCAGGCACTAAAAGCTCATCTGAAGAACATGAATGAGTTTTTATCTGTTTCTCTATTTGTGATGCTTGTAGGTTGAAAACATCCTGCTGCACGACCGTGGCCACTATGTCCTGTGTGACTTTGGCAGTGCTACTAACAAATTCCAGAACCCTCAAACAGAAGGGGTGAATGCAGTAGAGGAGGAGATCAAAAAGTAAGTGTGCTTTTCCTTTGCAGCTCAGACACAGTTTGTATTTGTTGCAGGTAAGTGCCTGTGGGAAGGTGAAACAATAAACTGAGCTTGATGTAATTGCTTTGGACCTGAAAGACTGAGGCATTACTGCAGAGAGGTTGCCCACGTTGAGGAGGTAGTGACCTGTTCTGTTATGTATGAGGTCTGTCTCTGTCCTTCCTCTATCTTGGCTTCTTTGGACTGTGATACAGCAGATGACAGAATCCCTGTCCTCCACAAGCATAAATCCTTGCAGTGACTAAGGGAACTCATGGCCTGACTCCTCAGCTCCTAAGATCCTTGAAGTGTTTCATCTGGCTCTTTCTCTTGCTGCATGCACAACTAGCTGTATGATAGCAACTAGGTGCACCCTGATGCTTTTGAAAAGGGGCCTTAGGTGGCAGTTCAGTAGGACATAAGTGAGGAATGGGGCACTGTCTGGGTCCTTTGTCTTGCTTTAGTTGTATAACATCACTGCTGCAGACGTTCCAGTTCTGTTAATACGATGTTCTGGTTAGAAAAGAACAAATGCCTCCTTTTTGTTAGAATTCAGTTCCACCTCCATAGGTTTCCTAGGCTTCTTTGGCTGAAGCTGCTAGTCTGGCTTTGCAGCCCCTTTGGAGCCCTTTTCTATAGGCTTGTACACTTATTAACAAGCCTATAGAAACTTTGCCTTTAGCAATGCTTTCTTGTGATCAAGGTAAAGAGCATGCGAGGTGCCACAGCAGAAATGGTAGGAAATCTTCTCATAGGAGTCTCTTCAGCTGTGGTGCAGCTTCCAGCTTTTCTGTGTGTTAAAAAGAGGCAGATTCTACCTATATTTGTGATGCAGAATAACCTTTCCCTTGTGTACAATGACTCTGAGCAGGGCTCTGGGTATGGAAGCCTATTTATTAGGAGCCACATATCCAGTTACAATCTTTGTAATTCACTTGGCCAAAGCCCCAGCAGTGAGGACATTGCAGAGGACATTTGGCTGCTGACCTTGTTTAATACTCTGAATCCTTGGATATTTCTGTTCTAGTTCTTAAAATGACTGCACAGATTTAGGAGTGAATTGCTCGCTTTAGGCAGGATCTTGGTCTCTGCTTTGGTTCCACAGGGCAGTTTGCAGTGCTTGGTGTTTTATTCTTAGAGGGATGCAGCAGATGCTGTTGTTAAAAGATTTCTCCAGTAGATGATCATCTTTACTATCCCTTTCCTTAAAATGAATAGGGAAAGAGTGAATTTTGAATCGTTTGGAAATGTGACACAGTGCAAGTGCATCTTCCAGCCATTCCCAACTCACTGATAGACTTTTCTCCTGCAGGTACACTACATTGTCCTACAGAGCACCAGAAATGGTCAACCTGTACAGTGGCAAACTTATTACTACAAAAGCAGACATATGGGTACGTATCAAACCCACTTACCGTCATACAACCAGACTGCAGCTTGTTTTCATTACCATAATGATGGGGTAGCTTTCTGGCTGGGGCTAACCCAGTTTCCTTAAGAGGCTGGGCAGTTTCTGAGTACAGAGTTTCTCTGCTTGATGTTTCCCAGCAGTTAACTGCTGAGTAGGATGCCTTGTGGATAAAACATGCGTGCTTCTTTGCATGCTACTTGCAGTGTGGTTTTAATTTGGAGATGAATGAAATCCCGGGGCTGAACAGTGCAAACCTGATGCCATAGCAGGAATTGAAACAGGAAATGCAGAGGGCTGTGACTACTTGTGCCTGAGTTGCTTTGCAAGCATGTGAAAGCAAAGTCACTGGTTAGAATTGAGTAGAAAACAGACCTTCCCCCAGGAGCAATAGTATGCTTATCCTGGCTAGTGTCACGCAGTTACTTTCTCAAACCTGGCCAAAGACCAAGCATTTTGCACTGCTGTTTCTAATGATCAATGCAGTCTTGCCCTGTGCTTTTCATGTTGAGAGCAAAATGCAACTGGGGTGTAATCCATTCCTGGCTAAGCTGGTGAAGGATGGAAGGCTTCCCTTTAGTTGGGTTGGAGGTGAAAAGAAGTCTGTGCTGTTTGTAGTGCAGTGGCGAGTCAGCACATGGGAGGTGTTTAAATTCAGAGCGTGTTTGTAGGGTTTAGGAGGCCTTGAGCTAGGAAGTAACAAGGCAGGAGCAGTATAAGCAGAGGTTTAATGTCTCCTCTATAGCTCTGCATCTGCATATACAAGAGGGAAACTTGCTGGGAAGAGTCCTCTGTCCTCTCTTGAGCTGAGCTTGGAGGCAGGAAAGCAGCAGCTCCTGTGGGGCTCTTGCTCTGCAGGGTTCAGCAGGAGGTTTGTAGGGCCAGGCTCTGTACCAGTGCTGGGTCACTCCTCTTATGGTTAGAGGGCTGGAGAGGGACTCGCAGCTAGAACAGCATGGAAAGATTGCCAGGTCTCAAAGGTACTAGGATTCACCCTCCTTCCCATGATAACATGGAAGGGAGGAGACCCAAAGGCTCTCCCCTTCCTGACATGGAAGGAATTTTGTTCCAGTAACCCACTGAGTGTTTCCAAACCAGCCTGTGGTGCTCTGCACAGTGGGGCCTCGACTTCAAGGCTGTTGCAGTGCTTGTCCTGCTGGAAACGTCCCTCTCCTTAAATCTTATCAAGGTTATTTTAAACCGGAGTGCAGCTGGATTGTGACATCCTATGACAAAAGATAGAAGCTGCTGCTGAGTTGCTTAGGATGGGGAAATGCTTCCCCCTCTCCCCTCTGAAGTGGTGGGAGGGTTTTAGAATTAGCCTTTTGTGCAAAACATGGCTTTTCTTTTGCAATAGGTGGTGGTTCTTGCTGTCAGAAGCAGCACAGGGATAGAGGGCAGGGTGACAGAAGCTAGAAGCCTGCAGCCGTACGCGTGTGGCTCTCCCTGCAACACCTTTATAATGGTTGAAAGGTTGAACTTCAGCTTGAGCACAGTTTGGATCTTTCTGTGTCAGAAACAAACGTATTAAGGATGATGGGTACCATTTATTTTTGCTATTGCTTTGCCTTTTCCTCCCAGCATGGGCAGAAACAGGCTTTGCCTGTTTCATGATGTGAATGATTGCGCTATATAGTGGTATTTGGAGCTCTCTGTGTGATGCTGCTTGCACAGTCCCCCAGGTTACGGTGTCTCAGCCTGGAGATGGGAGAGCTTTTCATGTGTTTACCTACGTGTGTAACTGTGCTTGTTTCCAAGTGCATCACAGGGATGTTAAAATGTAGTGGGTGCCATGTGGGACCCATGCAGCAGAAGGAGCTGGAGACTTCTCCTCTTATCCACGAGGGTGTTTGAATTTTACCGTTCCCAGTTTAAACCCTTTGCTCTGTTCTGTCTCTTCAGGCCCTCGGCTGTTTGCTGTACAAGCTGTGTTACTTCACCTTGCCCTTTGGAGAGAGTCAGGTGGCGATCTGTGATGGCAACTTCACCATTCCAGATAACTCCCGGCACTCACAAGACATGCACTGCCTCATCCGTGAGTTCTGGTCCCCTTCTGCACAACTCAGGTCTTCTGTTCTTGCATCTCCTGCCCCTACAGTGAAACTCTTGGTGTTTCTCTTCTTTTAAGACACTTCCTTGCACACAAGGGTGGTTAAAGTGATCTTTTGGTAGCTATGGGATCACTCTTTGACAGATGGTTGTGACAGAGGTTGCTGTTTGGCCAGGCTGTCGTGAGCTCTGGAAAGGCAGGAAAACAGAGAACCGTTTGGTTTAGGAGTCCCACAGGAACTTGCACAATAACCCTATTGATGTCAAAACATATTTCCCCAGTAATAAATCTATTTGGATAAGGAACTGAAAGGACCCACAGTGACTTAAGACGAGTGATAAGAATTCATCTTCTGTGAACTGAGAAACAGAACTGAAATGATTTATAAATAAGGCACTGACTGGAGTGAATGTGGAACGAAGGGGACAATGCGCTGCTCTTGGCAAAGCTGGGGCAGCTCTCTTGTTTCCAGCACAGCATTTGAGTTTATTTTTCTTTGCCTAGCCACAATCTTGACTAATACAGACTTGGATGTGTTTGCAGAGCAGCCTGGTATTTTCTTTGCTTATGTGGTGTGGTGGATGGGTACGCATGGACAGAGCCATCTTTAACTAGATCAGGTTGCTCAGAGCCCCCTCCAGTATGACCTTGAATGTTTTCAGGGATGGGACATATTCCACCTCTCTTCCTTATCTCTATTCTTGATACGCTGCCACAAATGGCTTGTGAACCTGTCTGTTCTGTTGCTCTGATGTTAGCATCTCTATCTCTTAAAGGGTATATGCTTGAACCAGACCCTGATAAGAGACCTGATATTTATCAGGTCTCCTACTTTGCATTCAAACTGGCAAAGAAGGAATGTCCAGTCCAGAACGTCCAGGTGAGTGGCAAAGGAGTGGATTGATGCAGGGCTTTGTGGGAGGAGACTGGGGGTGGCATTTGCTGAATATTGAGTATTCAGCTGGATTCTGCCAAGCTCTGACATTAGGAGGGTCTTTCTTTTTCAACTAGCAAAGCCATTTGGGATTTTGGCATATTTCTGGGGAGGAATAAGGGCAGGAATCAGGATTTTGTTTCCTGTGTTGTGTATTTCTGTCCCTGATTTACCTCTTCACCCAGTTACCAGCGTGAGGTCAAGCAAGAGATCCTGTGCATGTGAGCATGGAAAATTAGGCCATGCTTGTGCAGCTGATTGGATTTCCAGGCACATTCATCATTGCGTGTGTAATTTGTGCTGCAGTTGGGTTTAGACATAGCAGGTTGTGTCTGCTTCCATTTGAACTACACCAGACCCTCCACCACCATCTTAGTGTATCTTTATAGGCTTCAACTGAAAAACAGGGTGGACAGGTATTTTCTTATGGTGTTATGGCACTATTCTACCTGTATTTTTTACAGTAGTATTAGTAAGTATTGTTGCTCTTGTCCTCAGGTTGTGCTATGAAGCTTTCTGTCCACATGTAGGAAGTGGTCAGAAAGCTGAACTGTATTCTTCCCTTGTAAAGACTCTCCCATACTCCTGTTTCTACATGACATTAACATTGAGGGGTTTTGTCCTTTGTCCAGCATGAGGAATAGTTGCTTTGGGGATCCCCCAATCTGCCTGTTTCATTGTGCAAATGGTTTCTGATTCTATTTTCACACTAAATGTGGTGCTTTTGGGATCTGCAGAACTCGCCAATCCCCACTAAACTCCCAGACCCGGTTAAAGCAAGTGAAGCTGCTGCAAAGAAGAGTCAACCCAAGGCCAGGTAACCACATCTGCATTATGCTCAGACCTTTTTAGTGCCTGTTGTCCTTCTGCTTTTAGGAAAGGTGCCTGGTATATTTAGCTGCTTCCTTGGGGGCTTACATCTACACTGCAGTCCTGAGGGTTCTGCTTCAGTGACATAAATAACTATTGATCCCATTGACCTGAAAGGCAGAAAATGCAGATATTAAAGGAAATCTTTCTGCATGGGGAGGACTTGGGTGATACTCAGCATGACTCAACAGCTTAGCTTTTTGTACTGGAGACACTGCTTGACAGCAGCACTTGAGGTTCATGCACTTAAATGAATGTAGTGTGTCATCCATCCGGAGTACCTGAGAGCAAAGTCAGGAGGCAGACTGCAGCTGGCCTGCACTGGGCTTGGAATTGGCCCAGAGAACAGGAGTCTGCTGAGAAACTGCATCACGGACTGTTGCTGTTAGAATTTGACCCTTGGTAGATGATAAAACCCAGTACTTACTGGATGAAATTGCTGTGATTTCTGCAAGAGCCCTATAATATCTTCCAGGGGACACACACGAAAGCCCAAGGAGGCTCCATCCATCTGAAGAACCCAGTTAGTGGGGAAACCACTGTACTGCTGTGGTTTTAATCCTCTCCTGATGCTGCTGCTCTGCTTATGATACTGTGATTGAGACTTGGAAATTCTCTTGGGCAAAACTTGCCCCTTGTTTTCCTGCAAAGTGAGCAGTGCAGCAGCAGGCTCTGCAAACCCAGCAGCTTCCTTCACTCTGGAGCAGGGAATCTCTCCTCCTGCCTGTCAGTCCCAGGAGTCTGCTTTGTTTGGTTTTGTAACTGAGTGCAGCTACTTCCACGTTAGTAGAACAACTTGAGACCTAATGAGCAATGCACAGAAGGGCAGGGGGGTGTCTGGCTGCTTGGCTCTGTTGTGTGCATTGTTGGAGTGAATTGCTCAGTGAATGCTGAGCAGAGATCAGAAGAGGCGCAGTGACCTATTCTGGGGCAGATGGACTAAAGGTACTTCCAAAGATGCCAATTTAGATAACTCTGCCCAAAGGTGCCAGCTGCTCCTAATCTGATTTGTGATGCCCTTCCTTTGCTCATCCAGAACTCTAAGTGGATTTAAACAAGATGTTGTATCAAGTATTTGAATGAGTGGTTTTAACAGCTTCCAGCCATCACAACAGGAGAAGATGCCACAGTTGGTCAAAGGAAGTCGAAAGGACGGTGTTAGATCAATTGTTGGAGATGCATCTGTTCAGTTTTACTGTGCTTGCAGCTTTCTGGAAAGAGTCAGTGTGTGTGTCTGGATGTCACCAGCATCAGTCACGTGTTTCAAGCCTCTAGTGTGTGTTGCATGCAGCAGCTATCAGGCTAACAAAGACTGTGCTTTTCCCACTCTTCCTTTCATTCCTTACCTTCTAGGCTGACAGATCCCATCCCTACAACAGAAACTTCCATAGCACCCCGCCAGAGACCTAAAGCAGGACAGACACAACCCAACCCTGGAATTCTGCCCATTCAGCCAGCCCTGACACCTAGGAAGAGACCCACGGTTCCAGCAGCCATTCAGCCGCAAGGTGAGGTGGTGCTCCCTGTGTGGTACCACAGGGCTGTGGTACACCTTGATCTAACTGAGCTGTCTTGTTTCTCCCTCCCCACCAGTTGCAGGCCCTGCTGCCCTGGGCAGTGCTCAGCCCTCGCTCCCTGCAAGTGTTCCCCAGCAAAAAGCAGCACCTCAACAGGCTCCAGCACAGCCCCAAGCCAAGCAAGCACCGGCTCCGCAGCAAGCCCCGCAGGCACAGCCCCAGGTCCCCTCTACTCAGCCACAAGCCACACCTCAGCATCAGCAGCAGCTTTTCTTGAAGCAGCAGCTCCTGCAGCAGCAGCAGCAGCAACAACAACAGGCTGCCTATTACCAGCAGCAGCAGCAGATGATGCAGGCGCAGCAGGTAAATGGGCGCAGCTGTGTTTGTCACATGCTTACTGTGCTAGAGGCCTGTGAGGTTGCATTTTTGCATTTAGGGCAAGCCCTCTGGTTTTGGGGGGAGAAAGGGCAGGTTTTGGACATTTTCCAGTGTGTCTGCAGTTCTCTAGTGAGATTTTTTTGCTACACAAGGGTGGTATTTTTAACTGTTAATGTTAAAAGGCCTTGAGATAGTTTAGTCACATACAGACATGAAATAGGCAGTGAAGATTTTACAGCTCCAACTGTTTCAGAGTCTTGAGGTCAATGTTCAGCTGATGAACAGAAGGGTGCAATTTCTCTTCTGCTCTTGTGATACAAGGAGCCTGGCATGTCTTCTGAATTGTAAGATTCAGGTCTGGGTTTGTGGTAGCCAGCAGTGATAAGGAGGCCTGTGGACGCATGATGTGTTAGATGGGGTGGGTGTAGATGACAGACTTGCATGCTGTTTATAGGTGTTTATAGCAGCAGAAATCCCTGCTAAAGCATATTTAACAGTAGAAGCAAAGGCATGGTAAATCTTCTTATCCTGGGGAAAGGTGTAGAATTGATAAAAGTGAAGAAAGGAGTTTGGGACCACAGGAGAGTCTGTGCTGAGGGAGCCCCTTATGGGTGTAACTCAGCATCTGTCCTTAGATCAGAAGGCCACTTCCCACCACACATTTGGCCTCCAAGCCATCCCAGCCTGTGACTGCTCCACCACTTGCAGTGCCTGTAACCATTCCTGTGGCTGGCCCCAAGTTGGGGTGATGGTACCCCAGTGCCCAGTTGCTCACCAAGCAGCTCAACCACTGCTTGTTTCCCAGTTCCCAGTGATGCAGCAAGGAGCGCCGGCACAGCAGCAGCTCATGCAGAACTATTACCAGCAGCAGCAGCAACAGCAGCAGCAGCAGATGATGGCCCAGCAGGCAGCAATGCAGCAGAAGACAGCAGGAGCAGCAGGTCAGCAGAAGCAGCAAGCCCCAGCCCCGCCGCAGCCCCAGCCCCAGCAGAGTGTGGCCCAGCCAGCACAGCCACAGGAGCAAGTGGTAAGAGCCTTGTGGGAAGGCGTTCGGAGTTGCTGGTGAGTGTTCTCCTGCCAGGTCCTACAGCCCAGGAGCAGCTCAGCAGGGCTTTTCTGACCCACAGAGCCCAGGTAATGGGTGCTCTGGGGCCTGCTGGTCCCTAGTGTGCTGTCCATAGTGTCTGGGTGGCAGATGTCAGCGCAAACCTTGCTACCTCAGGCACCTGTGCAGTTGGTTGCACTACTCTTTGCAACAGGATGCTGCATATGGGAGTTGTGCTCTGTGTGCATAGGAAGAAGATGAGTAGATGATGACCAGAAAGCAGATGAGATATAGCTGCTTAATGCAGCTTTCCCCTACCCCTCCCCTGTCATGCTGCCTTAGAAGGCATGCAGTAAACTTCTAGAAGTTATTTGTACTTAATGCATCATGATGGGCATTAGGCAACAGAACAACACTGTTTATGTCCCCAGTGTAAGAAGGACATGGAGCTGTTGGAGCAAGTCCAGGGGAGGCCACGAGGATGCTCAGGGACTGGAGCACCTCCTGTATGGAGCCAGAATGAGAACACTGGGGCTGTTCAGCCTGGAGAAGAGAAGCTGCGTGGAGACCTCAGAGCAGCTTCCAGTGTCTGAAGGGGGTTACAAGGTTGCTGGAGAGGGACTCTTCATCAGGGACTCTAGGGATAGGACAAGGGGTGATGGGTTTAAACAGGGAACAGAGAAGGTTTACGTTAGATGTAAGGAAGTTCTTTACTGTGAGGGTACTGAGGCGCTGGCACAGGGTGCCCAGAGAAGCTGTGGCTGCCCCATCCCTGCCAGTGTTCAAGGCCAGGTTGGACAGAGGGTCTTGGAGCAGCCTGCTGTAGTGGAAGGTGATTTAAGGCCCTTTCCAACTCAAACCAGTCTGGGATTCTATGTTGCTGCTTGTTTGGCTATCTTCCGTCCCGTATTAAGGGCTCTGATGCAGAAGGAGGTGCAACAGCCTTTCCTGGCTGTTTCTGACGCTGGGATAACTTTGTTCCAAAATGAATGCTGTGGAAAGGAGCCTTTTCAGAACACCTCTCTCAAAACCTAAAAGTAAAGAAGCAAATCCTCCATTTTAATCATGTGAACGTGCATCCAAAATAAATGCTCTTTACTTAATGGCAAATCTCTGTCTGCTCCAGGGAAGTAGCTGCCCGCAGTGGTAAAGGCAGGGAGCTGCGCCAGAGGGCAGGATCCCCGCTGCCAAAGTGTCTCTGCAGTGCATATGGGAGGAAGCTGGGCATTTTCCTTTCATTCCTGCATAATCCCAGGTTTTGGAAGTGCAAAGGGATGGCCCTAACTCTAGTTGTGGGTTGGGCAGAAAGCATGTGCAGGCACCAGTGACGGGAAGCTGCCTGTTACCGTGCTGTACCACAGCAAGCAGTAATTAATAAGGAACCACTTCAGGAGCACAGAGCTCGAGTCCAAACTAAGGGGTCATTGCTTGTGCATGACTTGCCAGGTATTCAGGATCTGATGAATCTCAAGTATGTTTCCTTTGAAGTAACATCAGGGACTAATTTGACTGATAAAGTCCATAATCCAGTGACCTGTGCAATACTGGGGAAGCATCATTTTACCCTCCAATGTGTCTCAAGGCTGTCACATTCACCCCTTTGTTTTATAGTAATTCTCAGTGCTAATCTGGTGCTTAGGGGAGGTGACAGCCTTGGAGCTGTTGTGTTCCTGGGCTTGTTGCTGTTCTGAATGACCTGGGGCAAGTCAGTTCCTTAAAGGTGGTGGGAGATTTTCAGTGCATGCAGGCAGGTTTTGGATGAGGCCCATTATGATCCTGGTCCTTTCAGAGGAGAAATGCTGAACCCAGGGCACATGATAATGAAGAGCATCTCTAAAGGGCTTTGCTGTGATTCACTAGCACAAAAAATGGCCTTAGTTTTATTCCATCAGGTAGATGGAGAGTTAGCCTTCTTCCCCTGGAAGGCTGCTCTGAATGGATGCATCTGGACTCTCTTCCACTCCTGCAGCAGGCAGGAGAGCAAAAGCAGTGATGGGCTCATTTAAAAAGTGATTGTGAAACATGGTCTCTGCAGAGCCTTTGAGCAGAAGGTATCAAGCCAGGACCCATCAGGACCTTTTCACGTTGTGAGACTTCAGCTTAATCAGCTCTGTGTTCATTTCTGGGGTGGTTTTTGGCACTGCCCTTTGATTTCTCAGCACCAAATGTACTGTTCTGCAGTGACCTATATAGCGAGATGCAAGGTGGGTGCATCAGGAGCAGGCAGGTCAGCTTGCTCCTCAGTGAATTGACAGGATGCTAAATGAAAAGCAAGGCAGCTAACCACTTGTTTGCCTTGCCCCACTGTGCTTAAGTACCACGCTGGGGATATAACTCTCATTGCCCTCTTAGGTATTCCTAAGTATTTCCTCTGTTTTCCCTGGTTGGATATGGTCAGGGGGGATAGAGGGAGTGCCCAGGCAGTGGAGGTGTTGTGCACAGCTCTTTGCATTCCAGTTTTCCTGCTTTAAATCCAGCCATGCTATCTCACTGCAGAGTCTGGAAACTCACACAGCTGTAAGTAAGGGATGCTGTTATTTATCACTACCAAACGGTATTTCAAGTACTTAAAGGGATGTGAGTTTAACATAAGACTGAGGGAATGGAAGAAGATCAGTGTGAGGAGTTTCCAAAGGGTTTGTAGCTGGCTATCTTGACTTAAAACCACCCAAACCAAACGTGCCTGGGTTTCTCCTCCATTGTTTTAATGACAAATGATGCTCCTGTGGTCCTTGGAGGGGGTTTCCCCTAAAAGAAAGCTTCTTGCACAAGATTTCTGCACAAACCCTGTATCCCCTTTAGGGATTTGACCCCAGTCACACATTATCTGCTGGAAGAAGCGCTGCTCTTCACTCCTTGTGTCCCTACAACAGGAGTCCTGCACACTCTGAACTGATGTTACCTCTGCCCTGGATCTCAGCCTCTTCATCTGTGTTCAAGCTCCTGAGACCAGGCAGTCTTTAACACCAAGCACTAACAGAGGCTTTGCCTTCCATAGAACGAGGAGAAAGCCTCTGCTTGTGCAGTTGTAGCAATACTGGAATTCTGTGCATCAGTGAATTGAATTCCTCCTTGTCCCCAGTTCTTTGTGTGTTTGTTCCCCTCCTGACTATTCCCAATCCACGACTTGAAGCTCAGATCCTTCAGCACGGAGCTGTGTTTTCATCGTGCCTGCTCTTCATGAACAGGGACATATTACTGCCCTTTCTCTCCTAGATGCAGGCACAAATGAGGCCACAACAAAAGCCTCAGACGACCCCCCCTCCAGCAGTGCAGGGGCAGAAGCTGGGGTCTCTCACCCCTCCATCCTCCCCTAAGACCCAGCGTGCAGGCCACAGGAGGATTCTGAGCGACGTGACCCACAGCGCGGTGTTCGGGGTTCCAGCCAGCAAGTCCACCCAGCTCCTGCAGGCAGCTGCTGCTGAGGCCAGTCTCAACAAGTCCAAGTAGGTGCTTGGTCACCTGGTGTCAAAGGGTATGGAGGGAGGGGGAAAATGAGGTTCTTGAGGCTCCCTAGGCGTAAAGATGAAGGTAGGCAGCAAACTGCCAAAGACTCTAAATGAGTCTTTGCCTTCTGAAGACCAGAAGTTTAGGGCTTGGCACAAAGTGCCTGAAAAGCTTCCCCAAGGGCAGAAGTCCTGAGTGCTTCCATGCTTACTAAAAGCAAAGCAGACAGGGCCTGCACTCTGGATTACAGAAGCTACTGCTGTTTCAGCTCTTCCACCAGTAGCCCTGGTGCATGCTTTGTGCTTGCTGCTTGACATCAGCACTCCCCTGGGATACTCACTAGCTCCCTCTCACAGTGTCTACAGGCAGGAAGTCTCCATGAGGGCATTGCAGGGAGTTGTTTCAAATGGGGTGCTGCTGATCCTGGTTTTAATCCTCGACTCCAGGATGCACAACCACGTTAAGAATAGGCGAGGGTAGCAGGTCCCAGGTCCCTGAGCATGCAAGTACAATGATTTGTGTTTTAAGTAGGAAGTAATTGTAATGTAGTAGCTTGGACCAGCACCTAGTGCTGGCCAGAGGGTTTCAGATGGGTTATTAATGTCTGTTGTTTGGTTGGGATGATCACATCCAGATCTGCTTCCACCACACCCTCGGGTTCCCCAAGGACCTCACAGCAGAATGTCTATAACCCGCCCGATGTCTCCACGTGGAATCCATTTGATGATGATAACTTCTCCAAACTCACAGCTGAGGAGCTGCTGAACAAGGACTTTGCAAAGCTGGGTGATGGTAGGTTCATGGAGATCCTTTTATACCCGCCTGCCCTCAGAACAGAAGATGGCATGGAATGATGATGCTGTTGGGCAAATGCTGCTGGGCTTTTCCCATATTATCACGGTCCTCTGTGCCTGTAAGAGCTAAATCCTTCTCAGTCCTTGTCCTCTTTGCTGAGCCATTGCAGTTAAATGAGCATGATCCTCAAAGGCAGAGGTATTAACCCCTCCCAAAGCAGCCTTGATCAGTTGGTGTAGGAGCTGCAGTTTAAACTCTGCTTAATCTGTGAGTTGGGGTTTGCAGGAAGGGGCTTAAAGCCACATCCTGCAGTAGCATCATGAAAAGTCTAGGGAAGGACCCAACCTTCGCAATGGAAGTTTTATCCCTAAATGTGCATCTGGCATTTCAGGGAAAGCTCCAGAGAAGATGGGCAGCTCCACAGAGAACTTGATCCCAGGTTTCCAGCCGGCTTCATCTGCGGCCCAGCCAGATGCATTTGGTGGCTCTTCCTTCACTCCTGGACCAGGTGAGTGTGTGGATGTGACCTAGAGGACGATGCTCTGCAGAAGCACTGCAGGAAAACAGCAACTTTTTGTCATAGCCTCTTTGAAAGGATGGCAAAACTGATCGAAATAGAGCTGGGCCTTGGCTTTGAGAGTTCTAGGATAGGGTTGGTGTTTCAGTGGAGAAGGCAAGGTAGGAATGACGTGTGCTTCTCACAGTTGGGTAGCACAGAGAGGAGGCACTGCCTGCAGGTAGAGGTGAGGCTTTTGGTGAGGGAGGAAACCAAGTGAGCCCCTTAAATTCACAAGAAAAACTCTTAATGTGTTGCAGCTCCATGCAGCTCATAATTAAAAGTGTTAATTAAAAGTAAGTCATTAATTAAAAGTGAAATATGGAGTGTGCAATAAGGGAATTGGACTCTGAGCCACAGGACAGACATGCTGGAAGGTATCCCTTGCCTGCAGCTCTTTGGCTGTATGAAGGAGGAGAGGAGCAGGGATGATAATGTCTCTGCTGCAGGAATTGCAGAGCCAGGAGTGAGCAGGGAAGAGCACAGTGGGTCTCATAACTGACATGTTAGATGGTGAAGGCAAGTTTTGCCCTGGCTCTGCTGTCTGGGTCCAGAGGCCACAAGTCCTTGGCTGGTCTAAGAGACTTTTATACAGAGGCTTCTGTATGTGTGACCTCATCTGGTGTCTCCTTTGGTGCCAGGGTTTTGCCATGAGCAGCCCCTTCCATGCTGAGAAGCTGAGTGAGCGCTGCTGCTTGGTTCTACATCTTCAGCATCACTTCTCACTGTTGGAAACCTGCTTCCAGGAGCCCTAAGGAAGCGACAAATCCATTTGTGCTTATTTCTATTTATAAAAAGAGATTTAGAGGAGCTTATAACTGAGCTTGGTGTTGTTGGCTCTTACCTAATAATGAAGGAGTTGAAGTCCATGATGCGGGAGTGTCCTGTGCTCAGTTTATGATGTTCCATCAGCCTTTGTGGAGTGATGTTGAGTTGCAGCAGCTCCAGATCCAGCTGTAATGTGCCTGAGAAGCATCTGCATGTTCTGGGCTTTCTGGGTGCTGTAGCATGTTTGATTCTTTTAGTAGCTCTCTCATAGGAAGGTTTCTGGGAGGTATTTTGGCACTAGGTGGTTCTAGCCCTTTTCTTTCTCTTTGCTGGTAGATACAGCTTGTCTGATGCAAGATGCTGTATATTGCTGACAAAGAGGCCCAGCGTGGGGCTGCTGTGTGGCCTTTGTGAAAGCATTTCACCTTCTGTCCTGCTGTAAAGTGAGGGAATAGTACTGCCCTTTCAAGGAATGTTTAGAGGTCTGTGAGTTCAGCTGTGTTGGAAAGCTACATGGTAATAGCTGTTTGGGGTTGTTGGGTTTTCCCTCTTGCTTTCCTTTCCCTGGCAACACAAACTGGTTCTGAGTGTGTGTGTTCTTGTCAGGCCACAGCCTGCACTCTGACACTGAGGTTTTGCTCAATGCTTTCTCCTTGTTTCTCTGCTCTGTTTCACTCTGCCTTTTCCTGTGTACCAGCTGAGAAAACGAAAGACATTCTGAGCTTGGACACTAGCCCTTCTCTTCTGACTGTGCCTGATCCTTTCATTCCTCTCCCATTATCCGACACGCCAGGTAACTGGAACTGACTTTATGGGGGGGGGGGACACACACATTCGTGGTCTTTGTTTTGTATGCTTAATCTGCTTCTATTTCTAGGCACACTTGAAATCCTGGGCCTCAGCCAGGAGTGCTGGGCATCGACAAGCTGTAGTGGTGTGTAAGGCTTTCATCAGTGGGAGCAGTGCAGAGCCCTTCGTTTTCATGGCAGATTGTAGGGTTATCACCTTGTTTCTAATGCCAACAGTGTTGGTGTCTTGAAAGGCTCAGTATTCAAAGGCAAAAATAACGCCTGGGTATTTGCCTGTTCTGACCTAAGCTGTGCTCAGATCAGGCTCCAGGTTTGAAAGGGTAGTTTTTATTATTGCTCCTCTTTTCTTTGCCATTAGAGTCAGTGTTTCTTTGGCTTCCAGGGTCTCTTGCGGATGCACGAGTTTAACATGGAACATTTCCTCATTTGGCAAAAGCCTCTGGTGCAGTTGGTAGCTATTTCCATTTGCTTTGCGGTGCTGCTTCAGAGCCTTTCCTATGCACGCATCTCTGCCAGCACTTTTTAGCACAAGATTATGTAAGTGCCTTGGAGCTGGTGGGGTTTGGAATATGGGAATGTTGGTTTTTTTCCTTGGAGTTCCTCCTGTCAATGTATGTTTCGGGTCCCTTGTTGGCCGCTAGCCCCAGAGGACAAGTGCTGGTTACAGCTCTTGCCCTTGTCCTTCTCTCAAGCTGTGGCTCACTGGTGGAGGACACCAGCCTTCAAGCTGTGCTTGCAAAGGTGGCATCTCTCCGTGAACAGTTAAGCAATTTGGGGTTAAAAAAAGAAGTATCTGTTTCTTTCCCTAACTGTGGAGCTTGCTTCCTTCTGGTGGGTGCTCAAAGAGCACGAGAAACGTGGTTTGCTTCCGCAGGGATTTTACTCATAAATTCTGCAGGTTAAGAGAAGAAACAGAACTTACAGCACTTGACCAGCCCATCTCCTGTGTGAAACAAGCTTACAGAAGGCAGATAGGTCCCTGCATGCTCTTCTTCCTCCCAAATACCATTGGAAGCATTGGTTTTCCTGACATGAAGTCTGTCAGCTCTGGCAGTGTGCTCAATGCAGACAGATGCACGCTGAGGTGGTTGCTTTCCTTATTGCCTATTGCATTTGGTACAGCACAACCATATGAAGCAGCGGTTGGACCCTGGGCTGCAGGAGCTGTAGAGTTCTTCATAGCAGGGGCAGTTCCTCTGCAGTGGCTTCTTTCAACGCTGCCCTTGGGTACCAATAACCACTCTGCAGGTTTTGTGGTGTATGTAGATGTGGCTTTGTTGGCTTGCTGCAAAGATGTCTCTGGTTTATATATATAAAACTTGAGGCCAGATGCTCCTAAATGTTTTCAAGGGCCAGAGATCTCTCCTTAGCTTGGGAGGGAGCTATCTGTGCTTGTGAATTCAACAGAATGGACGTGGGGTTTCAATCTGTGTGTCTGTCACACAGAACAGAGTCATCTTTGTTTCCCTGTGTCTATGTTACCTGGGCAGAAGCATCCCCACGGCAAGCAGAGAGGTCTTGGAGGAGAGCAATGTGCTGACTTGCATGTGAAAGGCATCCTTTGAGTAGAGCTGGGATTGCCTTCAGTCTCTTGGTACAGCAGCATCTCTGGTTGCACGCTTCCAGGATGCCTTTGTCGTGTGCAGAAGCAGCTCAATTTCTTTGCGAGTTCTAAATCACAGAATCCCAGCCTGGTTTGGGTTGGAAGGGACCTTAAAGCTCATCCAGTCCTAGCCCCCTGCCACGGGCAGGGACACCTTCCACTAGAGCAGCTTGCTCCAAGCCCCTGTGTCCAACCTGGCCTTGAGCACTGCCAGGGATGGGGCAGCCACAGCTTCTCTGGGCACCCTGTGCCAGCGCCTCAGCACCCTCACAGGGAAGAGCTCCTGCCTGGATACTTGCTTTCTGTTCGGAATATGTTCATTTCTTCTCAAGCCCTGACAGTGAATCTCATTGCTTTGAAACCATTGCACGTCTGGTTTATAGACTGGGAGCACGCGCAACCCTTTGAGGAGCGAGCGTGAGCCTTCACCCCGTGCTCACAAGAGGAGTGTTGTTAGGGAAGGCTTTCAGTGCAGGCATAAGGAAGGCTTTTATCTGGTATTTTCCCTATTTGTCATACAGAGCCCGTGTTGTCAGCTCTAAACCTGTGGCAGCTGAGGGGCTGCTGAGGGCTCAGCTTTCTTATCTGCTTATGCTATGAACTTGTTCCCTTTGCTAGCACCTGAGGGTGCAGGTGGCATTGTCTGCATGGTGGCCAGGGACCTCCTTGGGCTTTCCCACCTTTCCTCAGGATGCTCAGGACGCGTGAGCCTTCCTGTTACAGGTTCAGGAGAAACAAGGGAATGATGCCTGAAACACAGGAAACACCCATGGGGTGCATCCGCAGGCAGCCCCCTGCAGAATGGAGGAGCTGTGGAGCTGCAGCCAACACATGTGGCTCTAAGGAGGCCACGGAGCTGCTGCAAGGGCTGGAGCCAGGCTGAGAGAGCTGGGCTGGGTCAGCCTGGAGAAGAGAAGGCTCCTGAAGGGGAGACCTGAGAGCGGCTCCAGTGCCTAAAGGGGCTGCAGGAAACCTGGAGAGGGGCTTTAGGCAAGGGCCTGTAGGGACAGGCCAAGGGAAATGGCTTTAACCTGCCAGAGGGGAGACTGAGATGAGCTCTTAGGCAGAAGCTCTTCCCTGTGAGGGTGCTGAGGCGCTGGCACAGGGTGCCCAGAGAAGCTGTGGCTGCCCCATCCCTGGCAGTGCTCAAGGCCAGGTTGGACACAGGGGCTTGGAGCAAGCTGCTCCTGTGGAAGGGGTCCCTGCCCGTGGCAGGGGTTGGAGCTGGAGGAGCTTTAAGGTCCCTTCCAACCCAACCCATTCCATGATTCTAAGTAGGGCTGCTTGCTTTAGCAAGATCACAGGTTGGGATCCGTGTGGTCAGTAAAGGCAAACTGGAGTGCTGGCTCTATCAGAGCGTTCGTGTGGGTCACAGCACTGGAGATGCTCAGTGTCCTAGAGGAGATGGGTTTTCATTTGTTGTGGGTACCATGTTTCTCATCAAGTGCTTCTGGAGAAGAGGTAACAGCACCCATAGAAGGCAGAAATACCAGCTCTGGCCAATAATCAAGAGGAAGTAGAATGGTTTTCAATATATTCCTCCTTCTCCTGCATATAATGGCTGCAAGTCTTAATAGAATTGTAACTAGGAGGAGGAGCTGGCAAGAGGGATGTAAAAAATATGGCAAAACATCTGTTAAAATAAGGGAGAATGAAATATTCCTGCTGCAGACATTTTTCCTTGTGCGTGTGCAGGAAAGGGAGCCAAGTTCTTCTTAAGAAGCTTATTGCAGGCTCCACTGCTGATAAATCAGAATGGGGAATGGTGATTTTCCTGTTACATGTGGCTGCTTCATGTCTATTGCTATGAATTCAGGACAATTTAACCCTAAACCTTGCTTTAGGGTTAAAGTGAGGATTTAACTGCTAAACCCTGCACAAGGTATTTAAGAGACCTGAAACTAAACTGAGTTATGAAGCTTCAAGACTGCTCTTTCCCTTTGTCATTGAGGTTTCACTCTCTGAATAGTCCCAAATCTGGGGTTTTAAGCCTGCTTTGCAGGAGGGTTTAATGGGAGGTTTGCCCCAGTGTGTGAATACTTGTGCTTTTAGCCCATGTCCCCTGTTAACCACTGAAATTGGAATGCTGCAGTCATCAGTAGGGTCAAGAAAGGGTTTAGATCCTCTTAGTCTAGAAACATGTGTTGAGATAACCAAGGTGAGTGAGATGCCCTCTGAGATGCTGCCAAGCCCACTCCTTTCCAGTGGCTTGAGGGTTGGTTGGGATGGGAGGGACGTGTCTCCTCCTCACTCTAGTTCCAGATACGTGACCTTCCCTAATCCTAACCCTAACCCAGCTCATTCTCTCCTCTCCTCTCTGCAGAAGAGGCAGAGATGAGGTGGTGGGAGTGGGTCCTTGGCAGCAGAGCAAGCATGGAGAAGCTGTGGAGCAGCAGCACTGAGGTGTGAGAGCTGAGAAACAGCAGCTCTGCTCCCCCATGGCTCTGGCTGGAGGACAAACTCCCTCGTGCTGTGGATTGCACAGGCTGAGTCCCTGTGGTTGTACTGGGGGCCTCCCTGCATCAGAACCGACTACGGTGCCATCGTTGCACAATGAGCCCATCTTTGATAGCCCTCCTCAAAGGAGAATGGATCCTTCTTTGTGCATTGACACGACCATTTACTCCCTGCAGTAATTCAGCAGCTTAACTGCAGCTGAGGGACAAATGTGTCTTTAGTGGAGTTGTTTGTCTGAGGAACAGCACCACCAAGAGCCCTCTGTGGCATTGTCCTGACCGTAACAGAAAGTGAGACAAGAGATGTTCCATGTCTGGCACAGCTAAGTAAACACACAGATAGAGCTGGGGAAGGAAACACAGGCCAAGAAAGCACCCCTGTGCCATCTGAGCCCACGCTGGTTCTCGTTTCTGATGGGAAAGCAAACAGTGTTGCTTATTATAGAGTCATTGTCATGTTGGAGTTCTCTAAAGCTTTTGAATAACACTTAAGGATGATTCTTGCCTTTTTATTTGCTTCAGATGTTCACGGTCTGATGCATTTTGGTGTTAGTCTGAGAGGATGCTCATCAAAGGGCTAAGGGAGTAGGTATCTTGCAGTGCAGATTCAAACCAAGATCATCCAGCTCCAACGCCCTGCCATGGGCAGGGGGTTGAAAAGGGACAGTTTAAGGTCCCTTCAGCCCAAACCAGTCTGGGATTCTGTGACACACTGAGATGAAGTAATTGCAGATACACACAAGCACTTATGGATGTGTAAGGATCTGAGTTTACATCTGGAGTTGGGAAGAGGCAAAAGGAGAGCTACTCATATAGGAACTTGAACTTGTTGCCATGTTGTTAACTGAGAGTACAATACGGATGAGTTGGAGGAACAAAGCCAATGGGCTACAGGAATCCCAGCGAAAGAAGTGCAAGTAGTATC